GGCTTTAATATTGTTATTTTATGATCCTTATAGACTGTCCTAGATATCGTAGACTAAGACCTAGTCCACATACCTGCCTGGTTTAATCTCAGCCAGAATCTTCTTTCTTCCCTTTAGTGATCAATGATCAAAAGTTAATTATTTGGTTACATAAATTATAAACACTTTGTTAATCAGTATGTTAAATGGTGAAATTATAAGACTATAATTTGTGATAAAATTAGGTTTGTACAATGTTTTCTTCTAAACCCAAATGTCAACTACATCTAAGCCTATATGGTCGGTTCTAAAGATATGAATCTTAGATTTATTCAGCTCAATAACTTAAAACCCCATTTTAAAATTCAAGTGAACTGAAATCTTCAAGACAAAGTAAATAGATTGGTATCAAGGAATTATCTTTATCAACGATGGAATCGTTGAACTCATTTCATTACGCCACTGGAAAGACAGACAGAAATAATGAAGTAATGAATGAATGAATGAATCTTTTATGTTGTATAAGCTCCGGAAACTGAATCTCTCAAGAGTCAACACAATCGAAACTTTGGTAATAACGCTGAATGTAAAATCATTATTAGGCAAATTTCCTCTTCAGGTCTGTGTGAATCTGGATCCAACAAAAAAAAGTTGAGATTAAATTGGGGATAGCCCACTCTTAGGCAGGAAATAATGCTTTCTACAGCAGGCTGTGATTATTGACTTGGTCCGGATGGCAATGAACTTTTCCTGAAGGGAACTCAAACCTTGGGTCAACTTTGTGAGTTGAGGGATCTTAATATCCTAAACTCAAGAGGCTATTATTGCAGAACGGATGAAAATATCCAACTCAGACCTTGTGCTTAAAGGTGAAAGTAGTAGACATTTTCTTCTGGAGTTTAAGGGTTGCCAAGTGATGGAGCACTCAGAACATCTTAAAGGCCTCTTTCTCATTCCGAGTAGGATCTGACTGGTGTCTACGACCTGCTGGTCCATTCTGATCGACGATTATTGTTGCATGAGTAGGATGAGGTAAGCAAGAAGGCGATGGGATGGAACATAACTTAGTTTGGTAGCTGGTTGGAGATTCGTGGATGGCAGATAAAAAATACAGCGTTCCATAACTTGCCATTTGTTGATGTAGGTATAGGCGGACAGAGCATGATGAAAAATTCAAATACAAATACAGTCGAAATTTTAATGTCGGTGTATAATGTTTTAGCAATTTGAAGTATTTGGTTATGAATGACTGTATAATTGGGTATACTCTATTAAGGGTTTGGGATATGTATAATGTATAAGAATTGTATAATGTATTAGGTTTATGATATGTATAATGTATAGGGTCTGTTTAATAAACTATGTTTAGGATATGTATAATGTATAAAGGTTGTATAATGTATAGGGGTTGTATACTCTATTAAGGGTTTGGGATATGTATAATGTATAAGAATTGTATAATGTATTAGGTTTATGATATGTATAATGTATAGGGTCTGTTTAATAAACTAGGTTTATGATATGTATAATGTATAGGGTCTGTTTAATAAACTAGGTTTAGGATATGTATAATGTATAAGAATTGTATAATGTATTAGGTTTATGATATGTATAATGTATAGGGTCTGTTTAATAAACTTTGTTTAGGATATGTATAATGTATAAAGGTTGTATAATGTATAGGGGTTGTATACTCTATTAAGGGTTTGGGATAT